TGGAACAGACACGACCAAAAAAAAAAAAAAAAAAGATCATAATAACAAAAAATAATAATAATTGTAAAAATAGCCTATATTTGCAAATACGGACTGTGTCATTTCATTATCTCCATCATCTCAGAAAATTCAAAATTATCAACAGGACGCAGAATATGTCCTTCGTGAGAGAACAGATTTGCTGAACGACCTAGTCTGGTTGAGTTTGGTATTTACCGAGCAAAACCAACTCCCATCAATACTGAAAGTAAAAGCACGCAGTGAAGGTGTAGCCAGTTTTGGTGTTTGCCAGACAATGTCCGAGCCTGTGTATTCTGAGGACACGTCGAGCGCTTATTACAGTAAAAAGCTTTTTTTTGCTTCACAACTTTAATGTAGGCTAATGGATTAATAATACTTCAGTAAACATGGAATATCTCTTTGAAACAGGTAATGTACAAAGATATTTAAATTTATTAGACCGTTTTATATTTGTTATGCGTCATAACCCAACTTATTTTACGTTGATGGTGCAAAACTAAAACTATAATTTGAATATTCAGACAAATGTTTTTATATCAGTAATGGGCTTTTCCCCTCGCGTTGTTTTATTTTTTCACAGAAAGGGCGCGCGCTCCACAGCACTGTGCGCGTCCACACATTAAGCGGTTATTAATAGCCTACTACAAGATTTCCCTGTGGCACATTTATGTCTTGAATAAAAATAATGCAATATAATGTGTCACTGTGTTACAACAGATGCTGAATCGCAAGATATTGTCCCAGACCCAATGTCTGAACTTTTACCTGGTGAGTAGCCTAATAGATGCGCAGTACTTGTTTTAACGTGGTAAACAAATGTAGCACTGCATTTGGCATTTGAGTTTTCAAATGAGAGATTTACCTTTTGTTACTATTTTCACAGACAATGTCATCTTAGAATATCTCGACTCACTTGAGGAGTTTATTGAAGAAGATTTCGGTCAGTTTCACTCATTGCCCTATTTATTGCATAACAATGTCATGTAAATGTCATGAAGGCTGTAAATAATTTCCTTGTGTCTTGGCAGATCCCAAATTCTTTGATAACTTTTCAGGTAAGATTCTGTAAAATAATATAATTTGAATAGAATCAGTTCTTGAATCACATATGACATTAACATGTTTGAAGTTAAAGGGGAATCAGTGCATTTGCATGTCACACTGTTTTTTCAAAAATAAAGTGAATTAAATTTAGTAAGTCTTTCACATCTGCTTTGCTAACAACAGTTGACACAGACACAACCTGCACGCCAATACCAGAAGATGCTTCTTTCCCAGATGAAGTGCAAAGCAGAAAGCGAAAAGGTAATACTATTTTCTCTTAAATGTTCTCTAATAAAAGATCTGCATTGAATTCAGAGGTCAGATTGAAGAGGTGTGTTTTCTATCTGTCAATAGTTGATGCAACTTCAAACAAAACCCGCAGATCCAAACGCAACAAAAAAGGTAATTCAAACATCACAATGTAACATTGACAAAATTATTGTAGGTGGTTTAGTGGTGGGAACCAGAAGTACCGCGGTGGATTATTTGACTCCCAAAAAGTAGTTTTAAACAATTTTTTTTTTTTTTACTTCTGTTTGTAAGTAACTCATTTCTAAAAAAAAAAATTGTTGTTTGAACTGTCTACTTATTTAAAAAAGGAAGGAAACATATTTGTGATAACTGAGACTCTCAGTCTAATAAAACACAAGTAAAACAGAAAACCTAATGTCTGTATTGCAGCAACAGCGTGGCCTGAAAGTCCCTCAAACGGAAGGCCGCCCAACATTACCCCTGAGAGTAGCTTCCATCTGAGCTCAAACCCATTCCAGCATGTATTACGCATTCCCTTCAGCCCCCCTCTTCTGCCCCCTAGTGGTGAGTGGCTGTTTTCATACAGTATTTGCATATCAAGAAACTACTGTAGGCCTTGGCTTTGACCTCTGACTATGAGTCTTTGAATTTCTCAGGAGGTTCACCACTACAATTCATCCAGACCATCGGCCCTTATACGGCGCCTCTAATTGGCACTGTGGTTCCAACAGGACCTACATACGTGATTGGTGAGTCCACTGTAAAAGCATCATTAAACAGCTGCATGTGCCTGCATGCCTGCATGTTATTTTAATGTTGTGCACTGTATCTCTAATTTCACATTCAGTATCTGCAGTGTCGCCCCAATGTGTGAGTCCAGGCACTCAGATAATTCCTCTTTCACCTGGTAAGTTAAAAAGAAGATGGTCACATGAGTAATTATGCATTTGAGGATTAGCAATATTGTAGTGTGTGTTAACTGAAATCTTCCTCTTCCAGCCGATGGCACAGTTGCCCCGCCAGAGCTCACTGGTTCCGTACTTCCAGTTGGCTCATCTTCAGACAGTGCATGCCAGGGTTTGCCACCAGTATCTGTAGACACACTCTCCCCTACAAAAGGTGAGCTCAGGGTTTGATGACAGCAAATATGTGTCTGTGCTAGGTTTTATCAAAGTGTAGATATGTATTAAGGATACAAGGTCTACAAACTTTAGAATCTGTTCAAAAACCAATTTTTTTTATTTTCAGTGTCTCCATTGTTAAAGTATGTCATTTCTGCAGCACTAGCATCATTAGACAGAGTAGTAAAGATAATGGCAGATTTGCACAGAGCCCCTAAGGAGACATAAGTACGAGATGAGAGAAATTATATTTGGAATAAATTCTATTCATATTTCAATGCTTTTGAGTTTGCTTGCAAAACATTTGCGTTTTCTTGCAAAACTATTGTGTTCCCCCGAGAAGCTTTGCGTTCGCTCACAAAAGTACTGAAATATAGTTTTTCCTCCCACCTCATATTATTTCTATCACGAAAGTTTTGCAAGCAAATGCAACGTTTTTCAGGGGAAATGCAAAAGTTTTGCGAGCGAACAATGCAAAAGCATTGAAATATAATTTTTCCTCCCATCTCGCTCTTTTTTATTTTTTTAACCATCAGCATGTCCCTTAAAGGGCTCCGTAGATTTACACTTTTCGGGCAAATTATTCTATAAATGTATTACTTATGAAACAGAAAAAGAAATATCACCATTTAATCATTATTCCAAAGGCTTACACACATCCAAACAGGATTGTGCAAGACTTATTATTTTGCTTTGAACACATTTAGAGTAGAGGTTGTTCAAAATGGGTTTTTAAATGGCCAATATGGTCATCTAGAAAGAGAGCAGGTCAATATAATGTTGATATTCATTCAGCGTTTATGCTTGGACTGGGCAAGCGGCAGCCTGCCTCAATTCCAGTTTGTTTTTTTGTTGAACTGTAAAATTTTAGACCTCACACAATCAGACTACAGCTTGAAAGGTTTACTGTTCGATTTGTCTATGTTTCCTCGCTGCAAGGACTCAGACTCTGTGTTCAAACACATTCTGTCCTGTCCTGATGAAGTTCTAATTATCTTTGACAGCTTTGATCACATTAAAGACTTTGAGGGGCTTCTCCAGTCCCCTGCGAAATCACACACAAACACTAAATACACCATCAAACAGCTATTTTCAGGTTTGTTCCAAAAGGAAATCCTCTCGGGCTGCACGCTTCTCATCGCCACGAGGCCTAAAGACGTTTTAAATCAGGTGCTGCGAAAAATGGACAGCCTTTTGGAGCTTTGTGGCTTCTCTCCTGAGGACATTGAGTTGTATACGTCAAAATATTTCGGGGATGCTTCCCTCCAAGAAAGTGCACTAAAACAGATTAAGAATCACAGATACATATCCAGTTTATGCTCCAACCCGCTACTTTGTTGGACTACATGCTTCCTGCTCGAGCACCAAGACAGCTGCAATGATGATTTGCCTTCGACCCTCACGGACTTGTACCAAAGAGTGACCTCAAAGCATCTGCAACTAGCTAGCCTTGAAAATAGCTCACTGTGTAAAAATAGAAAACAGCTGGACATCCCACAGTTGTGCCTTAACCACTGATTTCTAGTTGTGTCCTCTTTTGGAAGGCCAAACAAAGTATTTTTGCTTTCACAACGAAACACAGAGCGTCTTCACAACATGGCGGCGGCAGCAAAAATAAAGTTACGCCTTCTTTCTTTGTGTGAACATTTGGGCGTCGTTATGCAAATCTTCCCACATCGTGACGTAGACATGTGGGGGTGTGTTAGAACGAGCCGTTTTAGGAGGGCGTGGACCAGTCTTAACTTTTATAAAGAATATCTCTTTGGGTTTGAGACTTTAGGGATCTTATCTATGCACGAACAGCTTGTAACACTCCAAAGAGAAAGGAAAACTTGAAATCGCATCATATGACCCCTTTAAAAATGGCCATATATTGGATACTGTTACAAATTTTTATATATATATATATAAAATCATATTTCACCATAAAATTCAATAGTTCACCAACATTTGTCAACAAAGACACTAAACTGCTTTAAAATGTTCACTTTCTCATTGAAATGACTTTATATGTGACTGATATTATGACTGACTTGCACTTTTTTACACTTTTGTGAATATTCTCTTCGCAGCACTAGATGTAATTTTTATACTGTATTTAACAATAAACACAAGCTCTATGAGTCTGCTTTGCTGATTGTGAGTTTCAGATGTCAGATACATCAAACATTTAGCTGCTTCTATAATTCGTAATAATTTGACTTAAACATTAGTTAATACTGCTGCATCATCTGTTCAGTTATGGTTTTCAGGGGCTGAATAAATATGTACAATAAAATCAAATGCATACATTACATACAATGACTTGAATACACCTCTCAGCTCTTCTATGATAAGCATATTTTCAATTTCTTATATTCTATATATATATATATATTGTAGGTTTTCTGACCCCAAGGCTCAACTAATCTCTGCAATTCTCCAGCTGTGATCCTTGGAGAGTCTTTGGCTACTCAAACTCTCCTCCTCAATGTGCATTAGGAAGATATAGACACTTATCCTTTTCCATGTAGATTTGTAACATCTTTAGTTGATTGGAACTTCTTAATTATAACCATGATGGTGGAAATGAGGATTTTCAATGCTTTAGTTTTCTTATAGCCACTTTCTATTTTGTGCAGCTCAACAATCTTGTTATGCACATCAGAACTATATTCTTCGGTTTTACTCCTTGTGATAGAT